TAGAAAGCTTTGTTTTTGCATGTACCAAAAACATTGTTCATGCTGGGTAGCCTATGAACAGGAATGAAATTAAACCACTCTTTTATTGTATGACATTAATGTGGTCCAGGAAAGGAAAGTGCCATATGTTGAGGTACTCGTGTAAGCTTAAGATCACAAGATCTAAAGACCACAATTAGGTAGCCCATTGGGTGGATAAACTCAATTGAGCCAATTGAAATAGGTCATCACAAGTAATTGTACAATTGTAAGAAATTCAAAGCAGACACAAAATGGTGAGGCAAAGGTGCCTAACGGTCAGACAAAAAAATATTATTTGTGATTAAAAGGACTTTCTATTGATGAATTTGGCAAACAGGTTAGGTACCAAATTGTATTCTCATCTGAAAAATGGGATTAAAAAGTCTGATTTCTTGGTTGATCTTGACAGTATGATATATCTGTTGTTTTTTTTCATAATTTAATCTTTCTAAGCACCAATGCCATCATTCATGTTCCACAGTTTTACATTTAGATCCTTTTTTAAGGTAATGTGAGAAATATTTCAACTGATTTTAGCATAATACTTATTGAATACCAACGTCAAGTTACTATTTTATCATCATAATATTTTTATTGCAGTCGACAAAAAAAAAACCAAAACAAAACAAAATAAAACAAACTGATTGGCTGCATTAATTTTGTAAACATTATCCCTTTGAATTTAAGGATGTTTATTAATAAAAGTGAATTGACAGTGAGAAGTGCATCCTTCCATCTCAGCTCTTACTCATGTTGCTTTCCAGTAGCAAGTTTGCAAGATTATATAATTCCAATTTCTATATAATCAGACTCTCCAGTTACTTATGGCACCCTGTTCTTTTCTTCAACTGAGATGGTTCATCTATGAATCAACTGCCTGCTGTTTCCATTGTTGGACAATAAGCCTTCCTTGGATTTAAACCTTCAAGCATAAAAAACAACAAAGAGAGCAAACGTGTGCGGGAAATATCAGGGACCTTTGGCAAAGAGACTTTTCAGGACGGAGATGGTGACTGGAAGTGAAGTTTTACTTCCGTTTGAGTTCGTACATTTGGCGCAAAGTAGTCTAGGCTCGGCACTGACCTCAAAAGGCTTGTTTTCACGGTGTGTAGAAAACGTGAGTAGATACGAGGCTTTTGTCTGCCTATAATCGTTTTTCTTCTGGCCTTTTAGTTTTCACAACTTAAGGGAACACCTCGTAATTTACTTGAATAGCTTTTGGCATAAAACTTATTTTATTCATTGCATTTTAAAAGGACAGCTGTAGACTCAGACTGACTATGGCGGCATCTGATGATCAAGTGCAAAAATCCAAGTAAGTGAAATTACTTGGCCATGGTTTTTAGCTGCTTTGATTCTTCATTCCCTTACCAAAGCAAAAGTATGGGAATGGTATGGGACTGCTTGGACCATATCTGACCCATAGATGGGAATGGTATGGGAAGGTAACCTGGGTATATGGAATTGGTATGGGGCCAAATTTTACCAAATTTTTAACTATGGGACATGCATGGGAAGAAAATAGAAGGCTTCTTATTTTATGGGAAACCTATGGGAATAAGGTTCCCATACACATCCCATACCAATAAGAATTCCCACAACTGTCCTTACCTATGGCATTGATATGGGACATTCATTATGAAGAGTATACCATAGATTACCCATACCAGCTGACAGGTGTTCATCATGCCCCATAGATTTCCCATTGTGAAAACTGTATGGGATCTCTATGGGACATTCACTCCATATTTCAACCATTTCAGCTCTTGTTTCCCAAAGATCTCCCATGACAGTAGTTCTATGGGAAATCTATGGGACATATCTATGCTCATAATGGCAATGGGAAAACACATGTCCACACATTGAGTAATTGACAATTTTATTAATTGGACTGAGACAATAATGTCCTCTATTGTAAACAGAGAGCAAAAACCATTAATTATTCTGACAGGCTACATTTTTTTTAAACTGAAATGACCATAAAAGTCTAAGAATATTTTACATGAGTCAAGAGATAACTTTGCAACACTCTGACATGCTTCCCTAATAAAAATAGATGAAAATTTCATTCAAGTTTCTGTTCACCTATGCATTGTCATTGTGTTACATGTCATAATTCAAGTGTTAACTTGAGTTTTATGAAACTTACAACAATATCAACATGCATATACTGCATCATACTTTGTTGAATAATAGATCCTTCTCATTGTCACCATGAACTGAAGGCCTTTTTTCAAAAAAGTTTTTCATGTTTGAAAAATTAAGTTTGGTAGAAAAGATTCAAGGCTTTATATTAAATGAAATCTTTGCAGACTGTAAGTAGGAAAATAACAAGCTACATGTTCCTTATTACATGAAATCTTTGCAATGCCTAAACTTTGCGAATTTGGCAATTAATTTTAAAATATTGAAAAGTTTAAGTGGCATGAAAAACAAGTTTTGTGTACATAACATGATGTGAAAATTATGTGATGCATTAGGTAAAAATCAAGAAAGAATAAGTTAAATTACAGTTTGCAAGTCCAAAAGAAAATGAAAAGTGAAGTTAACTTTGAAGATGTGAGTGTCAACGGACCTGAAGCTTGATAACATAATAGTTTTTGAAACTTATTTGTACAACAATCCTTATATTTAGGTCAAAGAATTTTTACAGTAAATTGCCAAAAAGGTAAATCACCTCACTGATAAACACAGAATAAAAGTGACTCAAAATACAAAACCTTTTGCAAAATTGTGAAATGCATAAACCTCAAAATCACAAAATTAATGTGGTGCGAAAATTTAATGTAATAAGGCTTCAGCCCTCTTAACTCGGTGAAATCGGTACTTTAGTCCATCAACAAATTCTGAATCTGAAGAAAGAGACCCTTGTATAAAACATAGCTGAACGTTCTTGATGTAGAGGGCATACTAGCATTTTACATTTCCCTGTAATCTATGCTTAAATTGTATTCAGTAACAGCTCATATGCAAAAGAGGCATGCATTAATTTTTGCAGTTCCAGGTTCAAATCCCTGTATCAGAATGCACATGATTTGTGTGAAATCCCCACCTCCCCGGACCCAAAAAACTGTCCATTGATGTCGATTGACTTGCAAATTACGTAGGTGTCCAATTACAGGTATCTGATTTGAAGTATGCAGACATTGGATACCAGTACATGTACAGTACCAACCTGATCATGCACCAATTACATGACAAATAGGCCTCTCCAGAACCAGAATTTTGTTATAGATAATGAAAATAATAATGATATTATGTTATAAATTATGACGACTGTTGGACTGTGGTAGTAGCATTTGAAAATACTTGAAAGGTGGCTGGGTATTCTGAAGTTTAGCCAATAATAATAAACACAATTACATACTTAGTCTTGCACTTACCAGAGAAAAACTTAAGCAGCTGATTTTCAATAGGCACTTCAATGAAGAATCCACCGTTGTTTTGGATGCTTTTGCCACAAATGGTACAGTTTCCTTTGACATCTTTGCCATAATATGCCTTGCAGAAACCACAGAAGTAATGCTTGACAACATTTCCCTTCGCTCTGCTCAGAAATTGGAACAGGTTGTTTACTGTTGTCTTGCAGTTGTTAGGCCGGGGACAGTGAGCCTCTATTACTGCAAGCAAATCATTGAATGCTTCACGTGTAAGCTTGTGCTTAAACACGAAAGATAGCAACAACACAACACTTGAGTTACTTGTGATTGGAGCTCCCGAATATAGCATGTCATCTGATTCTGCTCCACAATGTTCTGGAATGCATTCAGTGTCTATTTCATCAGGGTTCTCACAGTCACTGAAAATGTCCGAGCAAGCATCCTCGTCTTTGACAAATTGTTCAAAAGTGTTAGTATCCGCGGAATCAAACAGTTCAAATTCGTCTCCGCTTATCCTCGAATTATTTTCTTCTTCCAATCCAAATGTGCTTGAATCTTCCATGTCTTGCACTTGAAAATAGCTGCAGTCTTCACCTAAAATCATGCTGTTTGTTTCTGCTTCGAATATTTCAGCAGGATCGCCAGTACAAAGAGGCTGTGCATGTCGCGTGTCGGGAATCATTTCTTCAACATCGCATTTGTTTAAATCATTTCGTGTACCAGTTGATGATTGTTTCGCTTTATAGAGGTTGCCTTTTCGTCTTCTTGCCGCTGGAAATTTGTATGGATTAGAATGACGCATGTATTCTCGGTAGCGACCTCTTTGTTTTCGTGCAACCTTCTCGCCATCGTCGGCCATGTTTGTTGACTTAAAGTCTAGTTCCCGGTCCCTCACACGTTAACCCCACACGTGTTGTTATTCAAGTGCGCGTGCGTAGTGGACTTTCGGACTCAACACAAGAACACGTGGTGTTAAATTGACCAATAACGAGAGCCCTTCAGACCCACGCCGAAATGCGCGTCCTTTTCAAATTTTTCACACATTTCGGCAAGCCTTTCTTCAGAGAGTTTGTTACTTATACAGAGCGAGTTTTAAGGTTTGTTTGCCTATTTCCACTGCAAGAAAAGATGGAAAGAAATTCAAGGAAAAGAAGTTCTCCAGCGCGTCTAAGAGAAGGTAAGCAACTCGATTGAATCGTGTTTATGAAAGCACAAAGTGATCGACAAGCATGCATGTTGTCAGATCAGTGAAAAGAACTCTTTACTGATCAGTCTATCCAAGAGCAAGTTTCAATGATTGTAATCCGAAAAGTATGCCTGTTTACTACGTTAAGGCCGTAAGTACATGCACCTTAGTTGTTTATAATTTTTGCCAAACTATCAAGTTTATTCAAAAGGATTCACTTGTACTCTTGCAATTTGCTTATAGACCTTGCATATGGGGATCCAGTGTCTTCTGGTACCCTCACCAACGGGCCTACTGTTCTGCGTTCAAGTCCTGGTCCGGATATGTCAACGCTGTTGTTGACATATTCTTCACCAAAGAAACACTTGCAATTTCAAGTGCAAGGGGAAGTGACAGAAAAGGCAAAAGCGGTGATGCAAACATTCCGTTGACCCTCCTCATCATTGATGCCCTTGTTGGTAAGTAGTGCAACACTGAATTATTTTATTCAGAAATAAGTACATAACTTGCAGTCATGGGGATCTCTAACTCACTAATTAGAACTTGAATTGACTGGGTTTTTAAGGCATTGTTGTCCTTAAAAAATAAGCAATTTAATACAAACTTGCATGCAATAATTATGATATAGAATTGAAGCAGAAAGAATTTTATTTGGACACAAAGTACTGGAATCCCAGTAGTTTCCATTGCAGCCCATTACAATTAACCTGGATTGAAACTTCCACAAAAAATGTATAAAACTGATCTAAAGGTTTTAATCTTACTCCCTTAGCCACAGCAGAGATAATTAAGACACCAGTAAATGAAAAAAAAAATAATGTCACTGAGCTTTCAATTAAGTTATTAATTTTATAAATCAAGCAAACAAAACAGAACCCATTACAATTGATTACCTCCAATCAAGCAATTTTTGTTTCTTGGTAAGGCAACATTCCACGTATAAGTTGGGGTACTGTTTTACATGTAAATATGACTTAATATTAACTTAAACTTTTTTTTTCAGGTAAAGTCTGTTCAAAGTTTTCAAAGGACTCTCCTCAACCGAGCCAAATCATACAGAAGATAAACATGAAATGTGTGGAAGCTAGAAGGCCCCCAAGAGTACGAGAGCAACGAGCAGAATGAACACTTTTTATAATTACTGTAAAACTGTTTAACTTCAAGAGTTTACCAATTTCATTATGTTGACCAAAAAGAAAATTTCTGTTTGATAATGTTGACCAAAATACAGAATAACAGTTTCATAGTCTTGGCCAAAAATAACAGTAACCGTATTATAGTGTCGATCAAAAAGAAGAGTAACAATTTGACAGAGTTGGCAAGTTAAGTCGTATTGCTTGATAAAAAAAAGTAGTGTTGTTAATGATAGTGTTGAGCGAGAGGAAAACTACCGGTTTCATAATGTTGACCTAGAAGAAATATAAGATTTTTGGTTTTTTGTTATTTTTATTCAATTTTTTTTGCAGGAAATTTTAGATGCAATTAAAGATATGGTTTCAATGGACGAATATGATGTCACCATTACTTGCCTTTAACCTGACAGTCCCTTTAGTAATTTCTGAATCATATGGTAAAGATATGGAGCTGAAGTCAAAGGACCCCATGGTGTTCCCATATGAGATGTCAGCTTTGCTGAATGCTATGGGAATGATATGGAACTTTAAAATCCCATAGCAATCCCATAGAGAATGGTCCAGGGTCATTATGGGAATGGTATGGGATTGTTGCATACCATTCCCCTAATGGATACTATGGGGAATATATGGAACTTTACAAAATACGTAGCAATCCCATAGAGAATGTTCAGCCATCATATGGCATCACTATGGGACTGACCCATACCATTCCCATACCAGATCCTATGGGGAATGTATGGAACTTTATGAAATACGTAGAAATCCCATAGTGAAAGACAATAGAATGCACTTGGCGGGCACTAGTCACTATTTATGGGTTTGATATGGGAGCTAACATCCCATATAAAAACCATGCAATGCCCATAGATTAGCCATATGTTGTCCCACAGGGTTCGTACGGGTCATGGAAAACCTGGAAAGTCATGGAATTTCGAAAAAAAAATTCCAGGCCTGGAAAGTCATGGAATTTCGATCAGAGTCATGGAAAGTCATGGAAAATTGTTATAATTTGACATTTTGCAAAAACCGAGATGAAAATAAAGAAAATTCCTTGCTTTCACAAGTTTTTGTTTAATAAACTATTCCTTGTTTACGTGTTTGCAACGACAAACGCGCATTTTTCCCCCGATACCGTGTGATACGTTTTTGCTGAGACCTGGGGCCGAGTCCCAGCATCGCCATGCGACCAGGCCTGCCACGAGGTAAAGATGAGCTTGAGCGATCATTCAAGCAGATTTAATATATAATGCCTGGAAAATGCAAATTCCAAGATGCTTGGCTGAGTAACCCGCAGTATAATAAGTGGATAGAACGCGGGAGTTCTTCGTCAGAGGCAAAATGTAAAGCATGCAAAAAGACATTCGCTGTTCAAAATATGGGAGAAGCAGCAGTGAAAAGCCACATGAAATCGAAGAAGCACGTCGATGCTGTTAAAGGTACGTTTGTGTGTTCAAATTTGAATTTACTAGAATTTAAAGTTTGCATCAAGACAAGAAAATGCATGTTTGCGTTAGATATTTGTCTCGATATTTGTACCAACTCGTGATTCATTTAGGATGCAGCCTGTATTGGGTATAACATAGATTTAAGTGCTGTGGTGTAATAAGAATCGGCAAAATAATCAAACAGAACAAAAGAATTTGTCATCTAAAGCGACAGAATATAAATAAATGTCTTTTTAATTTCGGGATGACAAAGATAATGCATGGATTGTACCGATGTTTAGGCAAGAGTGTTCTTTTGAGTTTTTGAGAGGCTGCAGGGGGGGGGGGTGGTTGGGGGCCGGTGGGACTAAACTCGGAGGTATATTAAATTTCAGATATAAAGTTAATGTATTATGAGGGACTAGCAAAACGGCCATTTCATATTTTTTTATTTAGCGCATCTTTATTTATTAATACAAAATTTATACAATAGTTAATACTATGCGATACAACACTAATACACTAAAAGTGAGTTTTTATTTTTCCTTGACATTTGTGGCTCAGCATTGGGATTAATTATGGCTTCAGCCCCCCCTCCTTCAGTTCTGTTGTGGCGCCTGTAAAATATGGTTTATTTTTATAAGTGGATTGCAATTTCGATGAGGCTATTGTGAAATTTTGAGATTCCAGGATTTCTGTGACAGTAAATTCATTTAATTAGGGCTCATTTTTGACGATATTCATAAACAAACATTTTTTAATTTGATTTTAGACGAGAGTAGCAATGCCAGCCTCAGAAACTTTTTACCTGCTGTTGGAAGCCAGCGTGGTTCACATGAAGTAGGACGCTCTGAACAGCCATGTTCTTCCGGTGCCGGTGATATAAGAAATTATGTGGCTTCAAATGAGACACTTGCTGCAGAAGTTTTGTGGGCACTGAAAGTAATCTTGTCTCACTATAGTTACAAGAGCTGTGAGGACATTCCAGAACTATTTAAACGTATGTTTCCGGACAGCCAGATAGCCAGCAAGTTTTCCTGTGGCGAGAAAAAATGTGCTTACTTAGCTTGTTTTGGCATAGCACCCTATTTCCAACGTAAGCTTACGGATGAAGTCACAAAACTTGAATTGTTTGTTTTACTTTTTGATGAATCGCACAATAAAGTTACCCAAACCAAGCAGATGGATCTGCATGTTAGGTTTTGGGATGCAAAGAACTCCAGAGTGCAGACAAGGTACCTAACCTCTGTATTTCTGGGACATGCTACAGCCGACGACCTTTTGGAAAAGATCGTTAGCTACCTTGATAGTATCAAGATTCAGAAGTCCAACATATTGCAGTTGTCAATGGACGGGCCTAACGTGAATTGGAAACTGCATGAGCTATTCCAGGAACTGATCTCTGAGGTTGACGAAAACGCACCCATCTTAGTTAACGTAGGCTCTTGTGGACTTCACATTGTACACAATGCTTTCAAAGCTGGATCAAAGGCATCTACTTGGAGCATTCAGGAAGTTCTGTCTTCTCTTCATTGGTTATTTGTGGATTCACCAGCACGAAGAGAGGATTACACAGAAATAACCAGCAGTGTTGTATTTCCAATTAAGTACTGCAAGCACAGATGGCTGGAGAACCTGCCAGTTGTAGTACGGGCCCAGGAAATATGGAAAGAAGTCACTTTCTATGTGACAACGGTGCAACGTAGCAGCAAATATAGTGTGCCAACTTCAAAGTCCTACAAGACGATAAGAGATTCAACCCAAGATCCACTAATGCCTCTCAAATTTGCTGCTTTTGAGTCAGTGGCTAAACAGCTGCAACCATTTCTGGTACAGTTCCAAAGCGACAGCCCTCTTCTACCATTTGTGGCCAGCAGTCTAGAGAAGGTGATTCGTGGTCTCATGAAAAGGTTCGTCAAAGCTGATGTACTCCAGGGTGCCAGCTCTGCAGTAAAGCTTCTGAAGATTGACTTCAAGAAGAGGGAGAATTGCCTTGACGTGGAGAAGTTGGATGTTGGTTTTGTTGCTGCCACGAAGCTGAAAGAATTGCAAGCAGCCAAGAAAATCAGTGATCGTCAGACATATGAATTTAGGAAGGAATTCCAGTCGTTCCTTACAGCTACAGTTGGAAAACTTATTGAGAAGACCCCAATTGCCTATTCCCTTGCCAGGAACCTGTGCTGTTTGGATCCGATTCATATTGTGACAGAGAAAGAAGCAAGCTGTGCGAGGTTCAAGATTGTCCTCAAGAAATTGGTAGAATGCAAGAGGGTTGATATTCATGATTGTGACATTTTGTTGTCACAGTACAGTGAATTTACGGAACGGGCTACACAGGTGCACAAGTCTGAGTTTGAAGACTTTGACTTTACAGATCAGAGATTGGATGCATTTCTCCAAAAACACATTGGTCTTGTCGGTTCACTTTCCAAACTGTGGGACGTTGTGAAATTCCTCTTGTGTCTCTCACATGGGCAAGCAAGTGTAGAAAGGGGATTTTCCGTTAACCGACAGCTAATGATTGAGAATATGAAGGAGACCACTTTCGTTGCCCAACGCACCATTCATGACCACATATTGAGTATTGATGGATTTCATAAATTGGTCATTTCGAACGAGCTTCTTACCTCTGCTAAAGCAGGAAGACAGCGGTATCACGCCCATCTTGAAGAGCAGCGACAGCTTGCGAAAAATGTTGCCAAAAGCCACAAACGAAAATCTGTGGATGAAGCAAAAGCTGATTTCCAGAAGAAAAAGAAGAGACTTGAAACAGAGATCACCACCTTACAGTTTGATGCTGACAAATTAGCTAAAGAGGCTGAGGTGAAGAGGCAGCTCGTCTTGTTAACCGAATCAAATGCACTCAATGCAGCAAAGGAGAAGAAGATAGAACTAGAAAACTTAAACAAGGAATTGGAAGAGTGTGATAAATAAGTCCGAGTGACAACCTGTCCAAAAGTACTGCTTTCTTGAAGTTATTTACCAGAATTGCAAGCATTTAACCATTGAACAAATAGATTTGTTCATACAAGGATGCACTCATATATTTTTCTATATTGTAGATGAAAACTGAAACCTCATACTGCAATTGTGAACACTGAAACAATGACTGTATTGTAAGGAAATTAAGATTTTATAGTTCTGGGCTGTACAGGTTTTGTTAGGAAATTAAGTCTGGATTATACAGTTTTTGTTACGAAATTTTAAAAGATATAGTTCTGGATTGTACAGATTTTGTTAGGAAATTAAGTCTGCATTGTATAGATTTTGTTAGGAAATTTTAATAGATATAGTTCTGGACTGTACAGTTTTATAAGGAAATTTTAAAAGATATAGTTCTGGACTGTAAAGTTTATCTTAGGAAATTTAAAAGATATAGTTCTGGACTGTAAAGTTTAGTAAAAAAGTATCTGTTTACGTCGTGTTGTTGCACTTGTGTCATTTTGTTGCACGGAAATAAAGATTCCGTGTTATACGTATGAATTTAACTGGTCTTAGCATCTTCTTCTTTTCTACAATTTGGTTAACATGCAAGGAAAAAACGAATTGATGGTACTGTAAGTATATATTGAGAAAAATAATTTGAACAATTGGGTCATGGAAAATCGGAAAAGGTCATGGAAAAAGTCATGGAAAGTCATGGAATGTCAGAAAGTCAAAAGCGTACGAACCATGTCCCATACCATTTCCATATTTGGACCATATATGTTCCATATCAACAGCTTTGGTAAGGGTTCTTATCTATTCCATTGTTTCACTGTAGGCCAATGGAGTGGAGCGAGGAACATGCCGTGCTTTTTCTGAGAGAAATGCCAGCAAGAAATGTTTTTGGAGCAAAGAAAGGAAGTCCTGCTCATGGACTGGCTTGGGAAGCGATAGTAGATCATCTGAATGAAATCCACTCTCCAAAATTCCAACTGAAGGTTAAAAAAGCTGTACGAGAGCAGTGGAACCTTCTCCAAAAAAAGTTCAGCAAAAAGATGAGCGAGGAAGAGAAGGCAAGTGGGATTTCTGTGGAAGAGTTAATGGAAAAGGAATCCCTGATCGAGGAGTTAGTGGAGAGAGAAGATGCCATACAAGCAAAGGCTGAATCAGCATTGAAACAGCAACTCAAGGACAACGAGACTACGGAAGATATCCGGAAAAAAGCGATGGGGAGCCTTAAAGAGACCAAGAAACGCAATTCAGAAGAAGGTGGAGCTGAATACCGCACTTTTGACTGTTGTGCAAAAGCCACTAGACAACTAATCAGCTATCAAAATGTTTTTATTTAGAACATATGTTGTTGTTGTATAAGATTTAAGCTTAATGTTTCCATGTATTTCAGAACTTTTAAAGATTGTATCTTGGACTAATTATATAAATTGGAAGCTCCATGTTCACAAGTATACATACTTTGAAGAATAAATGTTTTCAATGTTTATTTTGTTTGCTTTTAAATCTGATTACTGGAAATACTCCTCTAGAGTAGGGGGCTCCAGGTCGAAAAACTCAGACGTCTGATTACCATATAAACAAGTTATGGCATTTTGCAGTAAAGCACATAAAATATACATTTTTCCTACACTGCTTAGACCTATCTTTAAATTTTTCTTGTAATCTAAAAACTTAAAGGAATCAATTATGTCCCTGAAAGGCAATTCCACGGACACTAGTACTGCACTAAGTGCTTTATTATAATCTTCCATTTGTTGGGTTAGACATCCCTGGCGATATGGCGCCTGAAGATGAATCCGGAGGGGATAAGCTGGATCGCCATAAACGCACATAGGTTGGCCAGCTGGGGAAAAGGCGAAGTTCCCCATGTCTTTCAGAAGCCCAGAGTCAGCAAGCATACCTGCAGATTGCAGATTTAGATCTTGATGATGTGGCTCTCCATGAATTTGTAAAGTCAAAGTCAGGAAACCACTCCTTTAAAATACCACCTATTACTGAGGCACAGATGCTTGATCTCATTAACAAGATCCCTTCAAGTAAAGTGATTGGATGTGACAGCCTCAGTGTGAAGGTTTCTAAGATAGCAGCTTCTGTTCTAACCAACCCCCTTTGTCGCCTTATGAATCTTTCCATATCTACTGGCTCCTTTCCATCAACATGGAAAACCACTCAGGTCACTTCCTCGTTCAGAAATGGCTCTCGTGAAGACATAAGCAACTACTGACCAATTTCTTTTACAGATACTTGAACAACACGTTGCAACATCCCTTTGGAAATACCTACATACACAGGAAAAAATTTCAAAAAAACATCCAGGTTTTTTTGCTAATTCCCATTTTTAGAAAAAACACATTAATGGGAAAAAGAGCGATTTCCAATTTTTCTACTGAAATAACATTAATGTATTTTTTGAATTTAAGTGTTTTTTTAGCAATTAACATTAAGACTGGGAAAAATCATGGATGGTTTTACATTGAAATCCATTTATGGGATTTTAGGGAACTTAAAACATTATTGTGATTTATAAAAACCATGAATGTGTATAACATAGGACCATTATTGGTATATTTATTTCCCATCAATGCGTACGCCAATAACCATTCATGTTATGCTATTTGACATTAATGGAATATAACATAAGCCTAAACCATTAATGTGTAAGGCTAAAACCATCAGTGGTTTATTATTTAAACCATTAATGGGATAGAGCTTCAGTTAAAAACCATTAATGTAAGATTGGAAACATCAATGTTTTCTTTCAAGGAACTTAAAACATTGATGTAATTTATAAAACCATGAATGTATATGACACTGGACCATTATTGGTTTATCTATTTCCCATCAATTGTGTTCTCTAATAACCATTTATTTTACATAAATGGAATATATGATGTAAGCCAAGCTGCATGCATAAATTATATTAAATAAATGTGTAAGGCTAAAACCATCAATTTTTTTTTTATAATTTTAGAGGAGTTTCAGTTAAAGACCATTAATGTAAGATTGAAAATTAAACGTCAATTTTTTTTAATGTCAATAACAAAACGGTCTGTGTATTTTAATCATTTCCCATCAAATTATGAATCTAATTAGACACTTGTGTTTAATTAATTTCTCATTAATGGAATACAATCTACAGCATCAGTTGTTAACAGCAATAATGTAAGTTAAAAACTCCAAATTATGTGTTTTTTACTTTTAGCCATAAATGGGATACCAGATCAGCTAATAAAATAAAATAAAATGCAATATCAACTATCAGTGGTTTGTTGTGACTTGTGTCTTAGTAAACCATAAATAATTGAGACTTGCATTTGCGTTTTGATGTTGGCTGATTTATTGTTTTATCTTTATAAAACATCATCATAATGTTTCATACCAGTAATCAAAATAATGAATCACCGATGATAAAAACAGCTTAGCATCTAGGGTGTTCTAAAGTGTTTGTCCATTAATAATCAACTGGCACCATTTCCCATATGTCCTCATTCCAGTCTCCATCAGCATTATGAAGTAAAGTGTTCCAGGAAACTTTATCACTGGCTAAACGAGGATTTCTTTCTGGGGAATACATAGCAATAACAGACCCATATACATCTTCCCTCTCTCCAACCTTGTTGTAGTACAGAACTTTGGCAATTTGGTGATTTGCATCAACACTTAACACCCTTCCAAACCATGGCTGGGGATCAGTTCCGTTGATGAAAACCATCTCTCCTTCCTTTGGGTACAATGGTACTACCACATCGTTTGGAGACAGTGGCATGCTCTTCCTCATAAAATCGACAACAATTGATTCTAAAGGCTCAAAAGGATTAGGAAAAACTATAGCCTTTCTCAAAATACTTGGCGCCAGTACAATAATCTTCTGAGAAAGACTCCCATGGCATAAAATGGGAAAGCCAGTACTTGCAAATGTTACAAGTTTACCATCATCATCTTGTTTAGTTGGAAGTAACTGGCCTTGAATAAACTTGTGGTATTCTCCTTCAATCTCAAGACCTAGAAATTTTTCTACCAAAACAACTGATTGGACATTGTTCATGTTAAGAAAAACATGTTCTCCTGTCCTGTACAATAGGCCCTGACCTTGAATACCTTGTTGTGGTAAAAGAAGACTTCTGTAAGCCAAAGCTATTTCCGGAACAAGAAGTTCACCACTTGATGTACTTGACCCAGTAAACTTTGATTTGATGAGATCCACATCCTGTTTTGACAGCTGGACTTCATTTCTCTCAGACCCACCAACAAGAATTCCCTTTTTGCTGTAGTTCTCATGACGAGGTGAGGTTTTGGCAATGTCACTTACGTGTCTTGCTCCTTCCAAACTGGTGGCACTCATCTAGAAAAAAAGTTAATATTTTTCTCAGTCAGATTGTAGCTTAACATAATTATAAGAACTAAAGTTAATTTGGCTAAAGATCACTGTATGAATTATCACTGACATGAGAACAAGAAATAGAACGGAGGGTTTAAAGTTTTGTGTAGTTTTTCTTCCATACAAAAGCTAACTTTAACTTTTCAAATTTTTAAATCACCGTGGAAATCATCTTTTTTTTTTTTGGCTTAGCTTAACAATATTATTTGTAGTCCTAACCTTTCTTTAGGATTCATTTACATGCCTTAAGTATTAGTGGACTGCATAACAATGGAGTTACAATTATATCATTTAATGTAATGTCTACAACAAACTAATGGCTTCATGACTGAGTCTGTAATTACTGTATGTAAAGTTAAGGCAGCCCAGGAATTCCTTTTTGTTCACAATTACATTCTGAAATGTAATTACATTATGGCGACTTTCAGTGTAAAATTTACATGTACAATGCAGTGATGGCATTTTATGGCTACTAACAACTTTTCAAACACCTTTTCCAGGCAGAACTTGTACTGTTTGGGCTGGTCCTTGATGCTAGAGGAGAGATGTTGAAGCAATTCACGTCGTGCTTCTTTTTTGGCATAGGTGCATTCAATGTTCTTAAAGTTGGACTTTGTTGTAACATACCTCCGCACTGCCCTTTCAAATGGAAAACACCTGTAGTTGTCAGGGTGTGAAAACCGCATAGCATCGTCAGGAATATGAAGAAGGTTGTGCTCAGTGACTGTACATGAAGTCAGACCCCTATGCTCTTCAGTAAGCACTAAGTAGCGTTGAGCAAACTTGGAGAAAAGATGAACATCATCGAGCACCCATCCATCCCGTTTACAGAAGACAAGTTCTGTCATCCTGACAGTAAGTTGCCAAATGTGATAATCCATATCTTCTAAGAGGTCAGCAAATATTACTTCAGAGGCTGGAAAGGCAAATTTGTGGAGTTCTTCTGCCTTCCAAAAGGCCAGGCGAGAACCATAACCATTAGGAATTCTTCCATCTTTCAATTCTACAGTTATAATAATCAGAAAATCAATTGTACAGTTCTGTTGTATAAATTAATATATGTAGTGTACGCTGAGTAAAAATTTACTGAGTAGCTAGACACACCGTGTTTTAAGTTACTAGACGTAATATAATTTGTAACTTCATTTGGTATTTTTTCATAAACAGACTCATCAACAGACTCTCTGGTTACTTAACCAGAGATGTGCTGCTAAAGATTTATAAGCAAACAGTGCTACCAATCCTTGACTATGGATGCACAGTGTGGATGGAATGCTCTAAGGGTATGACAGACAGTCTGGAAAGACTTCAAAATCAAGCAATGCGCTCCATACTCAAAACAAACAGAACCGCATGCACCCAGAAGATGAGAAGTAAACTGGGACTTCTGACACTTAAAAACCGGAGGCGTTTTATTAGTTTGCATATGTATTAATGCAATTAATGTTAAATTAATAACTTAAGATGTTAATGACAAAAGAATAAATTCTTGTTTATTACAGACCTGCAGTCCAAGGAAAGAAGCGTAGACGTTGGTCAACTAATTTACTGTCAATCTTCTCAAGAGTGATGAAGCCCTTTGAGTTGTGCTGCTATGACATTTGAAGGGAGGTTATGCATAGTGTCATACACAAGATCCTTGAAAATGTCAAATCCATAAAGTTTGTGCGGTCGATAAAGGACGCTTAATCCAGTATAACCGCTGTTCCTGCTTTTTTCTGCCCGAACAGTTTTGCGGTCTTCCTCATTTATATCTTTCATTGTTTTCAAGTCTTCTTCCAGCTTTCGCTCCTCCCATGCAAATCTGGCGTGGTACCGATTATTAACATAATAGTATGTGCTTCCACCCTCTGGATTGATAGTACCTATTGAATAAAATGGACTTTTATTTCAGACAAGAAACTGACCAAAAACCAATGTGAATAAAGAAATGACAGCATATTACCAATCTTTTCTTCA